TTTCTTGATGGCTATAAACGTATTCACAATGGATTGACAGTGACAGCCGAGGCCAGAGACTGACAGCACTCAGCTGCCACTGCTGTGCAGATGAGTGCAAATGTTGCTCTGTATACACATGCACATACATTTATATACATACGTATGTGTGTGTATAAATATATGTATATACAGTGTGTGTGACAATTAGTGCTTTCCTGTTTAACCCTTTATGTAGCAAGGAACTGCACGCGATACGTTGACTTAGAGACTAATGAGACTTTTTGTCACAAAGTAAAAAACAAAAGCTTGTAATATTTGCTGGTAACATCCTCAGGCAGAAAATTTGAATTTCCAATCAGCGATCGCCCTGCAAAGACTTTGGGGTGAAGTAGAAGTGACGAGTTTAAAAAAAGTAATTTTATTTAGGTTTGGGTAAAATTTCAGTGTTTAACAAAGAGAAAAGCACAAAATAATGGGGAAAAATAAAAGACTCAATGCATAAAATCATGCCAAAGCACTAACTGGATAGAGATAAAGGATTTTATACAAATTACAGACTGTTGCAAAACTGAACAACATATTTGCAGTGAAATATGATAGTTTAAAGGGATTTCTTGGGTTGTTTATATACAGTCGAAATATTACCTCATTTGACTTGAAGGGAATTTGGCGTGGCAGTACAACAACCTGTATCTTAAGTGGACTTAAAGCAGATGGTCAGACTTGTGGCTCAGTGTCATGCGGATGGAGAAAGTTAAAGAATCACAGCCTCAGCAGCTGGGTTGCATTTTGACCACAGACCTCGTGGCGTAGAGGACTGAAAATTGTTTGCAGAAGATGAAAAAATTAAATCAGCATTTGGAAATAATGTTTAACAAATGTAATGAGAGTACCAGGTCATCAAAGTGTGGCTGGTTTATGTGAGTCCTTGCTGGCTGCAGGTGATTATTCGCTTGCCGGGGTTTATCACGCTCTTTAACCCCAGCTGGTGTGGCACAGAGGCAGGCCACCCAGTTAGAAGGGGTGAATTCCTGATTTTCAGAATAAGAGCATGTGTTTTATTGTTCTGTTTTTTAAAATTGTGCTTTTTGTTTTACTTTATAGAGATATTAAACTTGTCCTTTTACGACAGTGAGCTGAGATCTGAAGCTTGACTTTTTCTTAGTTTCCATGAGCAACACCAGAGAAAGTTCGCTCCTTCACTTAAAACTAATAAATTCCAGTTTTTTTTAAAAAAAGAATTTGTCCACCATGATTTATCTCTGGATGTCCTCCACTACATGATTCACTGTGTCTTGTTCCTCTTCCCTGAGCCAACTTTGGTCCTGTTGTCATGTGCACAGCTGTGTGTCACCCTCTCACAAGCCTTTTTCTCATCGCTCACCGACCTGAC